GATTACATAACCTCCTGGCGGAGGTAATAATTTACACACATACATTATTAACAATTAAATAAGAAATATGATACCGTGAATGACGAACCTCGGTGTACATTTTAATATCTTTATTATTATATATTCAAAGTCTGTTCAAAGTGATTGGTCAAAACTGCTGACGCCATCAGCGTGCAATAATACTTTTTTCAGCTGCTGACGCCATCAGCGTGCAATAATACTTTTTACCAAGCCTCGGCGCGGTCCGTTGTTTGCTAAAAAGCGCGCGAAAATTCCATATTTTTAACTCGGTTTGTGTTATCCACCTCAGCTTCGGTAGATAACACAAACCTCGGCCTTGATAATTCTCGATGCCATACTCAACTTCATTCAATATTTGTTAAATATCCAATGACTATACGAAATCGTGTTGGCAGACATTTTAGAATTTATGATTGCTAGTTACCACTGCTCTAATTATAATGTAGAATGAAGTGAAACTATTAACCAAGCATTGAAACTATGAGAGAATTGAGCAGCAATATAATATGAATATAATACAAGTTAGCTGGTCAGATCTTGTGATAATATTTTGTGATTTTATTTAGTGGCATACTGCGTGGAGCTATTGGTGACGTCATCGCATCATTCTGTGTCCTTCCAAACCGTATTACAATCCCGTTACTAAATGACAGTAGCATATTTGATTTGAAATATCCTATGCCGAAGGTACTATATATATATATATATTGTACGCCTACTATAGTTCAACATAACAGTGAGACAATGGTCTGGTCTACAGTTTGGATCCGCTAAAAGCTCTACTATGAAGTCACAATCCAGAATCCGAACTAAATTACAAGCAAAATCCACAATCCGAGCCAAAATATTAGATAAATCCGCAATCCGCTGTATTAATAAGATCCGAAAATCCGTGTAAAATATTCGCCAAATCCAAAATCCGAACATTTTTTTCTGCGGAATCCGACGATCTGAAAACCTATTCACCCCCCCCCCCCTTTTTTGTGGTTACAATAGGTATCTTGACTAATAACAACCCTTCCTCAACCAAAAAATGTCCGAAATTACGGCACTGATCGTAGACGCATGTACTAGTATAAGTATTTGAATCAAGAGAACGCTAATTTGATTTTAAACACTGTGTAGGGAGTGATGAGGCTGGAAGTGGTCGAAGCTCGTGATTTAGAGAAGAAAGATATTGGTTTCTTGAAAAAAGGATCAGCTGATCCATTTGTTGTCGTGAAAAGTGAGTTTGTTTTTCTAATTTATTATGTTTTCAAAAATCGCAAAACCTGCAATATCGCACTGTATACGTTCAGCATACAACACACCCGTCATGTCTTGTGAACGACATTGAATTAGGTCAATGTTGCAAGTTAGGCTAATATTCAGCTTACTAAACCATCGTTCGGAGGCCATAATTTTTGGGCAAAGCTAAACTATAACTATTGGCATAAGCTAAATGATTTGTTTACAATGCACTATAATTACAAGTCTACTGTACTGTATATACCTGTTTGCAATACATCTACTGGGGCAAGCTTTGTTCACGGGCGTCATCAATCCTGAATCAGACGCGTACTGTAGTTTGCTGCACTGCACGCAGTCAGTCGTTCAATCAAATGCCATAATTATAACTTCCCACCAGGGCCGCGGACAAAACTTTCCCAGGAGTCTATAACGTCATAATTGTAAAAGGAGAAGCTATATAGCACTTTATTGCATACTACAGTTCTAAGTTTAAGGGAATTCGGAACAAGCTGTTTGCAAATTGTTTAGTTGTTATCATATGGTGAGGAAATTACAATACTAAAACTGATAAAACAAGCATCACTTGAGTCACTCAAAATTTGGATAGAAAGTCAACGACTAACCTACAGGTGGGAGCAGTGCTGCTGAGAGGGAGCAGGGTAATTTGCCCCGGGACCCCAGCTGAAAGTCAACGACTAGTCTACAGGTGGGAGCAAGTGTATGCTGTTGAGAGGGGGCATTTTGGCCCGGACCCCAGCTGAAAAGGGGGCCCCAAAGCGACGAAATCCCTTAAATTGTCTGGACACAAGATTGCTTAAACCGAGAATATAAATCCTAGCTTCGTCAGTGGCGGATAATATAAACGTAACAATTAACAATATTAACAACACATATGTTTAAGAGGTTGCAAAGCAGGCATTGGTCAGCACATTCCATATTTACACGGCACATTCGTGCATTTTTGACCATGTTTAGTGGGAGGAGAGTCGTTCAAAACAGAAGTGAAGAAGAATACACTAGCTCCCAACTGGAGTGAAACATTTGAGGTAAGCAGACTTTATTTCTTTTTATATCTTCTTATTTTCTTTAATTTCAACGAGATAAATAATCGTTTTCCACTGCTTGCGTCGGAACCCACGCGTCTGAGTTGGAGCCTGGGGACGAGGCTGTTGTAAGCATGCTATGTGACCACACATTGTCCGCCATTTCGGGATGACAAACTGTACAGGTTAAAGCCCGTTCTCCACTAGGCGAACTTTTTAGCGCAAAGCGAAAAACAAATCTTGGCAATGTGATTGGTCAGCGAAAAAATTCGCCGCGAAAAAGTTGGATAAGTTCCTACTTTCTTACTGTTCGCGCGAACAAATTCGCCTAGTGGAGAACGGGCTTAAGTAGACGGCAACAAGCGAAAAAGTGAATTTAGTGAAGTAAAAGCACTGACAGTACTATTGTTTATAATAGCTACTTCTTCCATGTTGCTTGGTTACCACCCAAAAATGGCGGACAATGCGTGCACGCATGGCGTGGGAAAGGCTAATCCCCCTCACTCTTCAAATTACTACTGAACACATTATTTAACAAGTTAGTACGCAATGTTGTGAGAATTGATTGTGAAAATCATGATCAAGTTTTTCTGTCTATTTTAGTTCTTTGTCGACTATCCACAAGGCCAGAAGATCAAGCTGCAACTATATGACTACGACAAAGCATCGGATAACGAATCAATGGGATAGTATGTATTTGTCTCATATCAGTTTTCAGTTGATAACCTTTGAGGATGAAGATCACTACTTGAGGTGTACAGAAAATATGCATGGGTTCTGTTCTGTGTTCACTGAATTACAGTACTGTACTACCATTCCACGTTATCATGTGTATTATACTGTTCTTTACTGTGCTGTGTTGCGCTGCATATCACTGGCAGGGTGCGATAATTCGCGTACTTACATACGTACCGGAGGTACGTCAATATTACGGTCTGGTACTTCTTTGTTTTCAGCGATGTACCACGTAGGTACGCAGAACTCTTGCTATCTGCGTACTTACTTTTTTCTGGTATCACATGACCTTTCCAAGCCCAAGGTATTCAATACCGTAATTTAGTTGATATACGTGTTAGTCTGACATGTCTTGGCATGAAACATGATTGGAATGATGGCACTAAGAAACGTTGGAGTCGATTGTTTGTATATGCAATTGTGCTTCTTTTTCTACCTCGTAGTCTGAACATACTTTTCAGAAACTTGTACTTTATGAACATTATTTTAAAGAGTAAATACACATATATTGAGTATATTGATTGTGTACCAGCTCAAGTACGTGACAACAACCATTGGCGTACCAGTTAGGTACGACTAAAAATCTTGAATTATCGCACCCTGTCATGCACTGGCTGCAATGCTACATACATGTCACTGCCCTACACTCTACACTGTAATGTACTGAACTATACTGTACTGTACTCTATTATACTGTTTAGAATTTAGATATTGAGAGAATATCCTTATTTTCTTACGTTTAGTGTTGAGTTGGACATCTCTGCTCTTGCTTCCCAAGGAATTGTCGACTTGGTAAGATTATACTGTGATTATATTATAATGTTAACAATAGCATAATAATTGTAAAATCAATAATCGATCATTACATGACGTATTATTATCAGTGTGATAAATGCTATATAATTGCACATTGTCATTGGCACTGTATTCTTATCCAGTTTTACACTATCGTTTGTTTTACAACTATTCACACATATACTTATTTTGTAACCATGCACTAATGAATCGTTGAACTACATACAAACTGCGGGTATAACACAGACAAACAAACGGCAGGTAGGCATTCAAACCTGATGAACAAGCTCATTGTAGCTTAAGACTCGCATTCCAACATGCATTAGGTTTTTCTAGAGAGACTAACAGGCTTCTGGAGACTGCGTGCTTGTACAATATATTTCGTGTTTTAACAAACGACCGCAAATTCTTTTGTAGTGGTTGCCACTGGAAGACACCAAGTCAGGTGAAGTGCATGTGAAGTGCACGTGGTTTGCTTTATCAAGTGATCCTAAAGACTTAGTTGTTGCAAAACAGGTATTATTATAATTGCATCTGTGATTTTTTATTTGCAAACATTGTGGCTACTGACTGCTGTGTCTAGAACTCATCGCAAAAATCAACTGAATATAAACCTTCACCCATGTACGAACCCAATTGGTGGCCTTCAAAGCCGACGTTTTATGTTTTTATTTCAAGCGGGCGGGCTTGTTCAATTTAGCCACCCGTGCGTTTCAAATATGCCTGCTTTCAGGCTATTCTTGAGGTAACTGGCTGGCAGGATTTATTTGTTTATATATTAAACTTGTTGGTCAGCTTGCTACAAGCTTGTTGTGAACAGAGCTAGTACGCAACTTTCAGAAGATTTCCTTTACTTGGACGGAGGTTTAACGTTTTCTGAAGAACGAAACAACAGAAAAGCAATCGATAAATGGAGCTAAGGTATTCCTCAAGTTTGCTGTTATGTTTCATCATAGGATCATGGTGAGCAGAGTAAAGATCTGCTGGCAAATGCTGCACTGTTTGTAAAACTGGACTGTGGAAAGAAATTACCGGTGAGTCACATGAATTGAAATCATCAGTAATTCAGTAAAATTTAAATATATGATTGCATGTCAGGACAGTGTTAAAAACGAGCCAAAAATACAAATACACGTAAAGGGCCGTTCAAATGAGTCCAGAATGGTCCAAAATGGTTGGTCCAGCAATGTGTTGGTTGAAAATTTTGAACTCAGTCAAACATGATCCAACATCAGCCAACATTACCTATATAGCATACTGTAGTATTGAAACATATCAGAGCGGGTGAGTCGAAAGAGCGAACTGGACATAAACATGTCTTTTAAAGTTGCAAGAAGTCAGCATGTTGCATCCAAAAGTTAGCAAGCAAGTGCAACAAATGAGACAAGTAGATAGACAGCTCGATCTTCAACAGTGCCTTTCATGTGCAGTGTCCCATTATATCGTGTATTATTAAAACTATATTGCGTGCTTTGTCTGGATTATTAAGAACTTATAGAATGTATAGGACGACAGCGACGGAATTACAGTAGAATTACAGTAGACTTGCTCCAAGTCTGCCTCTCAAAAGGAGATTTTATTTGGGAGTTATAAAGGGAAAAGACGTTTTTATTTGTGAGTTATAAAAGGGCGCGCGAAAGTGCGGGCAGGGGAAAAAGCTCTTCCCTTTATAACTCCAAAATAAAAACCTCTTTCCGAGGCAAACTTGGAGCAAGTCTACGAAGGAATCTGAAAAGCACCTAAATAATTTGGTGAACGTTTAATTTTGTGGGTGTTTATGTCCTGTGTATATAACGCCTGCATTTCAAGCTGCGACGGGTTATAATACTCCAAACTGGCTCAGTATAACTCCTCTCAACCATAACGATCCTGTCTACTAAACCAGCCCTCAACGTTCACTGTGGGAGGAAGCATCACGTTCGGTAGAACATTGACCAGCTATTTCCACAAAGATGCATGGAGTTCAAACCACCATCTCAGACTGGTGAAAGGCAGTCGTTTGACTACTATCCAATTGACATACTCGATAACTGTAACGAATACTGTAGTACACAATACATCAGCTTTTCTTGTATTTCTCGGAAAAATCCAGAAGTTATTTTATTATATCTTTTGCATGTTTCATTCGTGTGTAGATTGCCAATAAAGTGAAACGATCAACAAGTGCTATGTGTAAACTAACTTTGGGAAATAAGACTGTCGAAAGTCAGGTAATTACATGTCATGAATTTCATGGACATATTTTTTTAACATTGTAGAAATAGAAACGAGGAATATTCCTTCTTTTAGGTTGTTGAAGATACTGTGAATCCTGTTTGGGATGAATTTTATCGTTTCTTGGTCTTTAATGCGAAATATCAAGAGCTGAATTTAGAGGTGAGTATCTATTTTGCCTAAATGCTAATTTATCGTCAGCGGCAAGAACCGTATATATGGCAATGTTGGTTGTAGATTGATAGTTTGGAAGGTTGCTAAGCAGGCACTAGTCATGGAAGTGGCTGTGGGCGAGGTTGGGTGCACATCACATGATAGGGAGGTACTGTTTAAGGGCTATGTTATGAGAAAACAGCCCTCGGCATGCAAGGACGTAGTTGGTGATAGTGGTGAGGTTACATCTTCCAAGCTTGTTAGAAAATATTTGAATAATAAGGATACATAGATAGTCAGAGGTCCATCTCGATAATCTGCTGTATTATAAAATTTTATTATAAGTTCGTACCTTTCGATCATTTATTTTATTTTTGTTGGATAATTGCTTTGCTGAATAAGAAATGGATTTGGTAAAGTTCTTGACCTTGGCCAAGACTACAGGTTGGTGACAAAACGTCCCACAAAATACGAATTTTATTTTCATTTAGGTGATTGACAGCCACAAAGAGAAGAATATTGGTGTGTTGGAAATTTCATTGAACAGTTTGATTGATGCTCAAGATATGTCAGTTGAACAGCCATTCCCACTTCGTGATTCTGGTTATGAAAGTTCTGTTGTGTGTGAACTCAAACTTAGGGTATGTCACTTATTATTGGTATTATTGTTATTATGTTACTATTGTTATGTCATGTTATGTTATGTTATGTTATGTTATTGTTATGTTATGTTATGTTATGTTATGTTATGTTATGTATTGGGTAAAACAGAGTTTATTTGCTCGTTTTTCCGTGAGAGCGGATCTCGAGATCGACTAATACGTTTTCGTACCACGTGAACTTTGTTTTCCTCGCCTGATCTGCATTGTCTTACTCCCTCGCCTAATCTGCAATGTCTACCACCTCGCACCACATCTTCTTTTGATCTCTTCAGTGCTGCCTATGTCCTTCAGCGCTTACAATGTAAGTCTCTGCATTCGCATCTCCATCATTCCTCAGCCTCATCAGGTCTTCCTTTTCCGCAGCATTTAGCTCCCTACAGCGACAACAATCCCAGCATTGATTTGCAGATTCCTGTCACATATTACTCCTAGCATTGAACCAAAATTAACTTGCTGTATACTGTAATATAAAAAACAGGCTCTGGTGAACAGGAAAGTAAAATATGATGCATGTGGTGGTGAAGTAACTTCAGTTACAGAAATCGGACAAGAAGAAGCTAAACCACAGCCAAAGACGGAGCCTGGGGCAGAACCAACTGAAGAGTACGTGAAACCTGTTCCTGTAGCCGAAAAAGTAGGAAGGTACATGAAGGACTTGGTCTTCTTCCCAACTTCTGTATCTGCTTACAAGTTACTTGAATGTTATGGTGATTTGTGCGTTCACTTTATCATCGCGTTTACATGAAACCGGGCCGGAAATCATTCTATGATGTTTTTTGTGTATTTCGAAAATACAATCCATAACCAATGCTGTTAGTCTTATTTTCATGTAGTTGTGTATTATCAACGTTTATTCAAAATCCAAACCGGTCCAAGAATGTTTTGTATTTACATTACATCCCTCTATAGAAGCTAGTTGCCTAGAAGATATTGAGTTCGGTCTTGCTGGCGAATCTAGCGAGCGATTCAGTCTTGCTTGCGTTCGCTCTTGCTAGCGATGATGTAGCGATAATGCTAGTCTAATTGCTAGCGATATAATGTTAGTCTTGCTAGCGATAATGCTAGTCTAATTGCTATAGTGATAATGCTAGTCTTGCTTGCGTTCGCTCTTGAGTGAGAGACCGGAGTGAGAAATATTTCAACCCAGTTTCATAGTGAGACAATATTATGACCGAAACGAAATCCCAGACTGACCTCGTCTCAGTCTCCTCTGCATGGGGCCTAAATGAGGTTTGTATCTAAATAGCCTGCATGCTTGGTAATTTATCCTTTCTTTCTTGCAGTGAAGAACCACAAAATGTTCGCCAGAGAAAACCTGTTTCCTCGCCAGCTGTTCCCACACCTGAGTCCAAACCTGCAGCTGACTCAAAACCACCTGACTCAAAATCAACTCCTGGGTACGTACTGTAAAGACTTGATTTTTGACTTTAAAAAGAAATCGCAGGGACGTAACGCTTGCAACATTCTACTGTGCCTGTTGCAAGACATGGTTAACCAGACAAAAGGTCTTACAAATAATTATGTTGGTGTCGTTTTAAAGATGTATTCGAAAAATATTGCAACAACTATCTAATTTATAGGCGTATCAGCATTTTTGACGATTTATTTTGAAATTATGGCAATTTTCTACTCTTAAAAATAATATGGATGTTAAAATATTAGAAATTTAAAATTTATTGTGAGATTTTTGTGTCAATTTTAGAGAACGAACTGGTGAGATAGAACTCTCTATTACACATAAAGACAATAAACTTATTGTTGTTGTCCATTCAGCCAGGTAAGTAAACATTTTTCTTCCAAATACTTTGCAATAATGTACCTTTCCCCAATTATAATAACTTGTAGCTACTCGTTCCATAAATATTTCCATACGTTTTTGCATCCAAAAACCACGGCCAGCAATCAGTTTTACTGAAAAACAAAGAAAGAGGCGCGTTAATTCCGAATTGGCTAACAGATAAAACTACTGTATCGGCCAAAAATTGGATGGCCAAAACTGTTTACTATATTTGTATATGTTTTTATTTTCAGAGGGTTACAACCATGTGACTCGGATGGCCTTGCCGATCCCTATGTTCGTATGTATCTCCTTCCCGAAAAATCAAAATCGGCTCGTCGCAAGACAGATGTGGTCAAAAATTCTTTGGAACCCAAGTTTAATGAAACGTAAGTACATATATAGTGCAATATTAAATATGAACAGAGAAGGGAAAAGTATATCAGAACACAGATTTGGAAAGAGATTTATTACGTGACAACCTCACGTGACAGATGAGGAGGTAACAGTCCTTAAGATTCTCCCATAAAATGTGTGAACTGAAAATATTGAAAAATGTCCTCCAATCTTGTAGTAAACACGCTCCAGGATCCACTGTCAGGGCAAATGTTTTGCAACATTTACTTGGAAACGAAATCAATAAAAATTGGTAATATGCAACATAGTAATAATAAATCAATAGCTTACTTTAATTTGTGTAGTTTGGATTGGGCTGTGGACAGAAACGAGATTCCTAAGAGAAGTTTAGAAGTGATTGTGAAAAATGACGTTTCATTTTTCTCAAGAGCAAAGACAACGATGGGAAAAGTAAGTCCTATTTTATGTTACCTATTTTTATACTACTTCAAATTATTTGAAGTATATAGTAGTATGTTTACCATGCATGCAGTGGCACCATTAGCATACGCCGTAGACCCCAGCAGGAACGAAGTTGCGAGAGTCTACACCGTAGGCTATTATGGTACCATGCACCTATATAAGGAAAGTTTTAACTGACTCATTGTCCGAGCAAAAAACACTAACCATGACAATATTGATTAGCGAATGCTTGTCTATAGATTACTGTGTTTGATGGGTTTTTGTAGATGGAAATTTCGAGCGAAAATTTATATACCTGACCTGACCTGACCTGCAAGCATATAGGCCTTCCGACAGCTGGATCGAACATGCGGTCCATATACATTACACTAGCTGGCATATAACCTTAGTATACATCCATATACATTACACTAGCTGGCATAACCTTAGTATACATCCATATACATTAAACTAGCTGGCATAACCTTAGTATACATCTATATACATTACACTAGCTGGCATAACCTTAGTATACATCCATATACATTACACTAGCTGGCATAACCTTAGTATACATCCATATACATTAAACTAGCTGGCATAACCTTAGTATACATCCATATACATTAAACTAGCTGGCATAACCTTAGTATACATCCATATACATTACACTAGCTGGCATAACCTTAGTATACATCCATATACATTACACTAGCTGGCATAACCTTAGTATACATCGATATACATTAAACTAGCTGGCATAACCTTAGTATACATCCATATACATTACACTAGCTGGCATAACCTTAGTATACATCCATATACATTACACTAGCTGGCATAACCTTAGTATACATCCATATACATTACACTAGCTGGCATAACCTTAGTATACATATATATACAACAACTTGTGGGCAGTGCTCGACAACAAGCGCATTGGTCAGAGCTTTGCACTGGAATCACAGGGCCGCAGGTTGGATTCTTGCTGGAGAGCCTATGGTTACATTATTCGCAGCTGCTCCCAATCAAGTCAAAAGTTATATATAAACTTTCGCTCGACTGAATTTCTATTTACAAAACCCATCAACATCCAGTTTTATCAAGCGAGATGCCCATTCGCATGGATAATATTTTTCAAAGATGTGTTTAAATTCGTAATTTTCTCAACAGACTGTTGTGGAAATGTCATCTTTGGATTTGGAAAAATCTGAGCCAAAATGGTAAGTATGAACGTCGTAGGCCAAATTGTCTTTAAAGCTCACGATTGATGAGACTGATTGATGAGATGACATTTGTCTGTTTTCATGTTTCATTAGGCAATATAATCTTAACCTAGCTCGAATCCAAACCCCAACCCTATAACCTGGGATCCTCGTCTTAACCAGAAATCCAAACCTCAACCCCAATCCTGCAATCTGCAACCTTAATATTTACACAGTAATTCTCCAAATATATACCAATATACAGTGTGTATCAAAATAATTCGAATCCACATTTGGCGTGTAATAACGCAGAATATATTTGACAAATTCGGTTGGTTTTTACACCATTGTTAAGTTCATTTATTTATCTTTCAAATGACATGCTGTACGCGTCATTTAGTTGGAAAATGAAGGAGTATTGCTTTGACAAAAAAAGTCCATAAAAATCACAATTTTCCGCCGATAGGAATTGGACATTTTTTCTTTCAAAGTTAGTCCCACAAGGCTTTGAAATGCTAATCATCACTGAAAACTAAAATGCAAATTTAACGCGAATTTCTTCTCGTTCAACATGTTGAAAGCGAGCTTAAATCTCTTTAAATGAACATGAATTTATGTAAATTTTGCTGCATAACAGTTTGTTGATTAATTAAATTTGCATTATCTTTTGTTTGTACGTCTCACTTCGAATTCCCATCGGCGGAAAAATTTGATTTCGAGCAACCAGTTTTAACACACGATTTCTTGGTCATTTTTGATCTTATTGATATAAGAACGATATAATCGGAAACCTAATAGGCTATTCTTTATTGCCATATAAAAATTATATGGTTTACTTTAGTATTTTATAAACAGCAGTCTGTCAAATTTGGATTCGAATTATTTTGATACACACTGTACAGGGTGTATAAAAAAAAAACGCAACCTCGGAATTTCCTAAGAAATCACTTTGCAATTCTTAAGCATAAAAGATTTGGCCCCTGGGAAATGAAATCGAATTGCTAATAGATCATATTACTGTTGTTGTGCATTCAAATAAATGCATAAATTTTGCTTTAGGCACTCGTGTGTGCAGTAATTTTGACAGTTATGCTATTTTAAATTCCCAGGCGCCTAAAATCTTTTGTCTTTAAAACAATGTCGATTTCTTGGGAAATTCCGAGGTTGCGCTTTTTTTGATACACCCTGTATAGCCCCAAAATATATATGTTAGTATGTGTTTCTTAGGTCACAAGACAGCCAAGACACGGCAATACTAATTCGTCGTCTCATGTTATACCCACTTTTAATAAATCATGTTTTTCGCTAGTATATAAAGTGCATACTCCGGTGGTATCACTGGTATGATTCTTCAATTTTGTTTGGCAATGTCTACCTTCAGCATACTTAAAATGTAGAAATAAATGGTATAACAAACTAGTTGTTCTACCCATAACTAACCTTCCAGACACCTGACCACCTTAAAGTGCACCTAACCTCAATTCTTCTAACGTCTCTTTTCTAAGAACCTTTGAAATGATATTGTAACTTATTTTGAAGATTTTCGTTTGCACACTTTGTCTCTGAGTTATTTCAGTTTTATTGATATGCAAGTGTCCGGAATTTACGTCACATATGAATAATGTCTGATCAAAGACGTACAGTTAAATATCATGAAATAAAAAGGCTAAATTGTGTTTTACATATAGGTATGTAATCCTCCCACAACTCCAATCTTCATTTTAATGAATTAAACTCGATAGTGAATACGATATACAAGCATTTACTTTAAATCATTGTGCATTTGTGACGTAAATTCCGGATGTTTGCATACCAAATAAGCTGAAATATCTCAGAAACCAAGTGAGCAAACAAAAATCTTCAAAATAAGTTGTTATATCATTTCAGAAGTTCTTAAGAATGATACAAATAATTGAGGTTAGGTACACTTTAAATGAGACGATTTATCGTTTTTATAGGTATCCAATTTATGATGAACCTGATGACAGCGACTGAATCCACGAACACACATCATAGCGACTACAGATTAGTTAGGAATTGCATAATTAGGGTGTTGACAAGAGTTAAGATAAACAAATTGCATGAATCTTTTTAAATACGAGCACATTTAAAACATTAACAAAATAGTTTTATAGAATTGAATGACTGCACATAGTCTTTAGTGACCATTTCTGCTTTATTTACGACTAATTTCATTCGTGTGTAGCTTGTTAGTAAAATATATCTGATTGGAAATAAAAATTGTACCAAATGCAACATGTCATTTTACTTTCATGCACTGGTATCAATATCACGTACCTTGCACGAACAATTGTACAAACTATACTTACTGGATATTTGCAGGCGGAGTGGGAGAAGCACAATGTCCATGCATGAGGTTGGATATACAGCACCTATACTTTCCTAGAACCATGGATTGTAAAATAACTGGATAGGAAACTTCCTGACGTCACAGTCTAAACCTAGTTGCAATCTGTGACGTCACGCGTATTGCCAAAGTTCTCAGCATTTTTGTTGTTTCGCTATATTTTCCGCTTTAAAAGAGTAATATTGAAGCATAAACTGGTCTAATTGTTTTAAAAACGTGCCTAAACCACGACAAAGTATTCAAGGTAAATGTTTTTCATCTTTGTTTTGTATTATTGTATCTTACATTTGTAGCTACGAAATTGGCGTCGCCAATTTTTACGAAATTTGCGATGCATTTTTCACTGTTTAGTGCTTGAAATATTTGCTAAAATTGACCGGGAATACTTAGAGATTTCATCGTAGAATGGCCTAGTTATATTTATTTGCTCTTTGACTAAAATGTTTAGCTGTATTATCGCTAAACATGCCGTTTTTGAGAATTTGGTTTGCAACCAATCTCGTTCCCCGAGCATGCCCGTTCGCAGGTTAAGGGTGGGCATAGCCACCCTTAACCTGCGTACGGGCATGCTCGGGGAACGAGATTGGTTTGCAACTAGGTTTCAACGCCATCATCCCATTGAAAACATTAGGTCATGTCAGCTAGTTTCCTATCCATGTGTTTTATTATCCATGCTAGAACCTAGGCTGCTGCAACCTCGTACCCAGGGCATTTTGTGTGGAAGCAAAATGCCCAGCTGGGTACGAGTTTGAGGCTGCTGTAATCGGAATCAATAAAATCAGTATCCTGGGGGTATTAGTTGAGGGGGTATTAGCCCCTTTGGAGACACAATAATAGGCGTACATGAAGTAGGCGTACATGAAGTAGGCGCTAGAAAAGGAATGATTGCATAATTATATTACAGGTGTATCTACCACAGAATACCACACAAATTTACATGTTCCATATCTTTTGTCAAATGCATATAACATAGCCTGTTAAATATTTTTTAGTATAGTTTTTCATTATTTTTTCTTCATGTGGGGTCTTGGGGTTAGATTTGGCAGATTCTATTATTTTTTAAATCGGACATTCTGTGGATAAAATCCTAATGTACCACAGAATACCAGTGCGGCAATAAGTAAGGAACGGTTTATCAAATTGTACGAGGATTTGGTGTGTCATGTTGTGTGATAACACTGTACAGATATTGCTAACTTAATTTAGTGGAAGGTAATTAAGTACTAAAATCACTACAGAATACCGGTGGTATGTACCACAGTATATTAGGTTTACCAATAATTTTGAAAAATTGAGTTTTTTATAGTAAATTTGATTACTCAGTGAGATTCCTGAATAGTAAAAATGTATCGCTTAGAAAAACTGTTGATGAATGTAAAAAAACAAACTCAAAAACTGTTGATGAATGTAACTGGTTTACATTTACTGGTTTACAAAATGGTTTAAAAGTTATTTGAAAGAAAGAAAACAAATAGTAAAATATAAAGAATACAATTCATCAGAAATGACTATTACTACTGGTGTTCCTCAAGGATCAATACTTGGACCTTTGCTCTTTTTGTTATATATCAATGATATTGAAAATTGTAGTAATATTATATCATTTGTCTTGTATGCAGATGACACAAATGCTTTTTATTCAAATTCTTGCTTAACCTCTTTAACGAATATAATGCAAGAAGAAACGAATAAAATTATGAATTGGCTTACACCCGTTTTCAAAATTACGCGACCAAGGACGAAAATGCTAGAGTTGACATGTCAGTTTTATGTCACAAAAACTGCTAAAAATAGCAAACGTAAACAAACTGTCAAAAGACATTTTAAACCGTATTTAATACCAAAACTGAACAAAAATGAGTTAGATAACTTATATATACAAACTAAAGCACAATACAAACCATCACAACAGAAATATGTGTCGTGAATAACTTTTAAAGTTTGAAAAATAACAATTTATCCTGGAATTTAGCTGTCAGTATAAAACACGCGCGCTAGACTATAACGGTGATGTTATGATTTTGTTTGTGCTTAAATTTTGCAATAATTCTCACTAAAATATCTTGAAAATCATTGTAAGCCTGTTTATATAAAGCATATTAATATACATCGACAAGGAACCACAAAACTCAAAGTTTAAACTTCGTGACCGAATGACATAAAACTGACATTTGAAGTAAGAGTATTTTTCAGGGAGGTCGCGTAATTTTGAAAACGGGTGTAATGCTAATAAATTATCAATTAACGCTTCTAAAACGAAATTAATTCTTTTCAAATAAAAAAATAAAAAATTGGAATCTCATAATATTACAATAAAAATAAGAAATGAATTGATCCAAAAGGTCTCTTATACAAAATTTTTGGGTGTACTAAGCGAGTGTTCATTATTTATACCCGTAGTTGGTACCGAAGAGAAACTAATCGAAAAGAGAAAAAAACAACCACCCACCCTTTCGATCAACCATTTTTTTCCCTTGGATTTTTATTTTACCCAACCCAATTTCAAAATTATACAAGTATTTTACATATATACATATATATTATTATACAAGCTAGGCCACTATAGTATAAACAG